TCATCCCCTGACGCTGTTGCTAAGCAGTGTCATTGCCCAAACTTGTCATTCATCTAGTTAAAACTTGTGCTAAGATCAAAGCAACTTTTTTGTTTAGAATTAAAACCAAATACAAGGCAAACCAGCCAAACAATGTTTTTTCAGGCACACAAAGGTACACAGGCAGTAATACTGGCTCCAACCAAAGAAACAGTTTGTAATTGAATGAATATAACTGAGGACAGAATTAGCTGTCAACTATTTGCAGAACAATGAATTCTAGTTCTTAAAAATAAAAATATTCACAATAAAATCTATGAGAAGTGACCAGAATGTAATATTTGTCTTAACAGCCTTCTTTATCCACGAGACAATTATGTGCCACTTAAAATTATTGGGACTGTATAATGCCACTATTTAGAGTGCTTAATGCAAGCAAATTAGAGGTTTAAAAGTCAGTGAACGCAAGTCTTTCCAGTGGTTACGGCTAAGTATGTAAATTAAATAAATATCAAAGAAAAGGCGTTCTACTTTTTCACCAACTTAGCTAAATAAAAAAAGGATGAATTTGAGAATGAAAACTGTCTGGAATTTAAACGTCTACTTCCATAGCGAAATCAAAGTTGACCTTATTTTCCTTCCCTCCGTTTTTGTGATCTGTCATATGCTTATGCCGATGGGTAAATGTGTTAAACAGAGAACCGAACGGAATACGCCGCAAACTGCGCCCACTTCGCGCACTAAGGGTTCCCATTGAATCCGAAGAGGTCGCCATTAATCGTTAGCTGAAAAAGAAAAAAAGACAGCCTTTCCTGCAGAATTCCAATCCAAGTTGGATACCGACTAAATACTGTTTAAAAACTTAGATAAATGAAAATAAGATGCAAAATACATGATGTTCTACAGTTCAAATAAGCAGAAGCTCAGCTACAACAAAAATTATTGGTTTCCATCCGTCAACAAATACCTGAGTAAACGATACCAAATAAAAACAAAAACTGATTACCAAACCATTCAAATGACAAGAAAGCAAAAGTGTAATTGAAGTAAAGTAGAATCTGCAAAATACAACTTTCACAAAATAATCCAACATTCATAAATTACTATCAACTACAAAAATTTTTCAGCGAAAAACAAGCATACAACAGCCGGCTGATGATGGAGAAGCCAGAATACATAAAGCACAATGTGTTCGAACCTTGCTTGTATATTCTGAAACTGTTAAAAACCTTTCTAGCTTCATTTTGAGCTCACTCAGTGTCCCGATTTCAAACGTTCACAGGAATATTATGTAGTGAAACAAATGGTGTCTGTAACAACGCGAAAAGAAACAAAAAATAACCGCCAGCAAACATCCCCAATTAAGCAACGACTGACAACACTTCATTACTATTGTATTAGTACTCACTTAATTACAAACCATAACAGTCAATAAGAAAACAAGAAAGATCATATCAAAAATGTATTTTGGAAAAGAATTCAAACTTGATTGGTAAGCAGCAGAAATTAAACCACGAATTAATTGCCCAATGAACAGATTTTACTGATTGATGTGTTTTCCAATAAACCGAAAAGGACAAACCTGCGTTAAATCACGCTAGATTTCCCTGGATATGATTCACAGCTTTCTGAGCAACTATCTTACAGAAATGAATAGAAGAAAATGACGACAAAATCCTATATTTCTAAATTTGGTTTACCAGATACCTTCTTTCAAACAGTCAATCCGGCCAACAAAGTTCTTATTGCTGTAACAAAGAGATATTATTACAGCTTATTGTGTTCATCTCCAAAACAGTTTTTTCACGTTAAGTAACCCTCACTTGTTGTACGTAAAGTTTTCGACCCAATTCTGTTTACCTGTATCCAATTTTGCAGTACCTATATATTACTTTGGTCAGTTTAAGTACCTATTACTAAATTTCTAATCTTCATAACTACATCACCTGCCTAAAGCAACCTTGCAGTGACAAAGTGTGACGTGGTTCTTCGGCGCTGGATTCTGCATCTTAAATATGAATGTCAATAATCACCCCAATTGAAACATTTTGGGAGAAAAATCGGTGTTTTTTGACCCCTTTTAATCAATTGCAAAACACTCGTTTGGGCATGCGCCTTTAACCGTGTATTCAGAATCTGCTAAGCTACTGTATCAGACCACTAAAAAAAATATTGAGGTCCTGTCCAAAGTGTTGCGATCAAAGTGGAATTTGATTATTCATACTCAGAATGCTGAACTAGCAGAATGTAACCCGAGACAATACAGCACAAATCATTTCACAGTTGCAACAAGTGGATATTAGCATGATAAGCAATAGTTCAGCATTAGGTACATGAAACTGTAGAAATGGTGTACAGATATCACTAAAATGCATATGGATGAAGAGGTCAAGATTAAAGACTCTAAACTCAAAAACAGAAGCAGACTAACCAAAAAAAAAAAAA